TGTATGCGCTGTCTGCTTGGAAAATAACGTCAGATAAATTTTCTACGCCCATTTTAGTATGTTTTCTGCTGTGCTTGGTCATCAACATGCGGTGTATGTAAATGTAAAGCTTGTGCGGAGCTGCGGTAAGACAGCCCCCCTTTACACGGGCGGTCGGGCAGGGTCGCCACATAAATGCGGTTCCTCCCCTCACCCTTTACGCCATCGCTCCAGCTACGGGTCCCGTTAGATCCTGTCCCTCTGTGAAATGAAAGAGGGCAGGCGAGGCCGGAATAACACCTTAAATCCTCAAAATCACTGAAAGGAAACGCATCTGAATAAGGGAAAATATAACAAATCGCCTTATACTGCGGTTCAGAAGAGCCGGGTTCACTTGCGGATTATATCCTTGAACGCTTTCTTACTTTCCCACGTCCGCACTTTAATTTACTCTATTCCCCGATTGTCGGCGCTCCATGGCTGGGGAAGGGGAGGCTGGGAGGCCAGGGTCAGGGCGCTCTTCTACCGGGAAAGCCGTGGACCTGGCTCGGCTTCTGCACATGGATTGCACCCGCCTGCTGGACCTATATGTGAGTTTGGCGTGTTCTGACAGCGCGGTTCAGCACAAATGAGAAAGAATTCTAACTTGCGTAGTGGTTGTCAGCCTTTGTTATTGTGAAATACAGACTTTAAGGGTGTGTAGGCCTGGTACAAAATCCAATTAAGATACGTAATCTGTTTTTTTTTCTTCTGTTATTTGTAAGCAGGGCAATTAAAATATGCCCGGTACGTGTTCCGCTGTATGTAAACACGTGGTTTCAACCAGACAGACGTTGTTTTAATTTGCGCCTATGCTTCCGATCTATTTTTCTTTAATTTTTTTTTTGGCTAATGACAAAGAAAATACTCCAGTACCATGAGGATTTTGTGCAGGACAGTCCAGTTTCCAGACGGGCCATTGTAAACACTTGTTTATTTTTCCATGCTGGAAATAGGTGGTGCTGTTACTCGCTCATTGATCGACTTTTATGAAAAGATGAGGGTTATTTTGAAAAGTAGCACAGGTATCCTAACGTTAATAATGAGATTTTGTATATTCCTGAAACCAAGCACGAAGATCAACCTCGCCAAATATATATCGTGTGCCAGGAAATTTCTTTTTAACAGTAATAACATAATAACCTTGGGATGGTAATTAATCATTTTGTTGATCGTTGCGTCAGTTTTCTGTACCGGCCTGTGCCATACAGGCTCCCGGGGGTCTGGGGTGCGTTGGTGTTGTTTTTGTTAATAAGTAAGCTAAACATCTGAATGGTTGGTTTCTGGGAAACAAAGGTGTGCATCATTATAATAAGAAATTTAAGTTATGTTTTAGCCATTAATAAAATTTCTCTAAGTAAAAATGACTAGTCAGAGATGTAAGTTTTGAAAATAAGTCTAATCTATGTTTATCTGTGATTAGAGCACAAATCAATGTCTTTCTCAAATGCAATGGATTATGCAGCATTTGGTTACTGTTAGTATTAACAGTGGCGGTGTATTGGAAACCTGCTGTTCTAAGATGGAAAGCTTGATGTTTGTATTTTGGAGGGATTAGACCTCCAAACTCCTTGGGGAATTGTATTGTGATGGTTCAAATATATGTTGGTTGTTCCTCATAAAATTGTTATTAGATTTGATTTGATAAAAATGCACAGAAAATAATCCAGATGTATGCTGTTTCAACCTGGAGGAATGTTTAAATCTGCTGTGTCATGCAAGTCCATGAAAGGGATTCAGATTGTGACATCACACATCTGAATATTTGTAAATGAGTACAAGTAATGTACTGTGGATAACCACGAATAAGCACCGCAACTATTTATAGGCCGGGCACACTCACTGAGATCCTCTGATGGTCTGCACCTTAATCAATATCACTTCCCCCACTGCATGCAGAAGCTTCAGTATTATGCATATGGCTAATGCATAATGTTATTGAATGAAAATACATTTATGGATCATGGAGTGTTTGTTGTATCCAGTAGAAGTTCTCTGTGAATACACTTGAAATACTCAGCTGGCTAATTAGTATTATGCCAAACAGCTTATTGGTAAAAACCTGCAATTTTATTAATGTAATAGCATGGTAAAAATATTTTAATGGCAGCTGAAATTTACTTAATCTCGCCTAATGTGGCACATTTTCTCGGTTGCAGTAATAACTGTATCCATTTTTGTACATGGACATAGAAGATGCATTTAGGTAGCCAGATATCAATTGTTTTTATTGTATCCTGCATTTCCTGTGTCCTCTTTGTCCTTAGATTCTGCTCATTATCTGTCGTCTGTCTGTCCCTTTTCTCCCCATTTTCAGAAAGAGAGAGAAAGCTTTCCATCCGAAGACTTCCTGGAAGACAGCCGTGTCGTGGTCGTGCCCCTTCCCTGTGACAATCCCTCCACTGATGAGCGTGTGTGGATCCTTTACGCTGCACTGGGCCAGTGCCTGGGACATCTGCAGAAGCTGATCAGTCTGGAGGAGGAGACTGGGTGCAAGGACGTGACAGAAGAGGAGTACAAGTATGTCCGCAACAACGTGCATGCCCGGCTGGAACACCTGCTGCAGAGCACGCGACAGTTCCTGGTCAAGGACCCTGACTCGGGCATCACTGAGGTACAAACTAATCTAACTTTGATAACTCTGAAGGGCAGAGTGATCCAGTCCCTGATCTTCAAAGGGGTCTGACCTCCGGAGTCAATGGGATCTGGCTTAATTGTTACTGAAGTGCAAAGGCATCTGTGTGTGTATGGTAGTGTTTTTGTACCGCATTTCAGTGTGCTTCTGCTTTTTCAGCCACCTGATGGCACGGGGGTTGACGAGGCAGATAGCAGTTTCCAAGTGAAGCTGTGGACCTACCGAGTTTTTGAGGAGCTGATCTACTGGACTGGGTCTGCCTCGCGCATTCTCCATCTGCTGCACACGGAGAGGGAGGCCGATGAGGAGGTGGAACTGTGAGAGTGAGGGAGCTTACCAGTGCAGGGTACGCAGGACAGAAGCACTGTGATGCCAATTTTGCTTATAAAAGATGGTCATTATTTCCGTTAAAAATTATGTGCTGCTAACTCAAATACTGTAGTAAATCAATAACACTGCGACTGTGAAAATGTCATTATAACAAACCAGTGGTGTACTTACGTGCTCTGTGAAACGTCGCTAAAGCACCATTTAAGCTGTTGTACTGATTGTTACTCCAAAGAAATCTGTTGTGTTTAGCATATATGTAGCAGAATGATGTCTGTGTTTTTCCTCAAAGTAATATGTTGTGAAAAACAAACACCTTAACTCAATATTAATCCTTAACAGCACTCATTATTGACTCTGCACCTGACACATTAAAGTCACCATATTTAAAATGCTGATTACAGTATTTTAATGTCGCATATTCCAGTATCTCTTTCATATTGAGGTAATGGTATCTAAGAAGAGGACTGAAACAGAAGATGGGAAATAAATTGGACTAAAATCGGATCTGCAGTTGGCCTGAAATGGGATATTTATTTTATAATTTAATTTTCCCCAAAAAATAAATATTGATTTATTTTATCACTATGCTTGCTGCTAACGGATGTTGACTTAATATTTGCAGAAATTGTTGCACATTGGTACACATACACTTCGGTTTTCTACATTTGCATGTTACTCACTTATTTACTAAAAATGCACTCGGTATTCTTTGCTAACACTCGATCGTGTAGTCATGTTACTCTTTCGCCTCATAAGGTAGTATCAAGATGCTTTGTTTATTGGTCTGTTTACACATACAGCTGATTCTGGTAAAATACAGTGTATACCCAACTGATGAAAATATGGTTTCCAGAAGTAAATGCTGTTTTTTTTTTACATGAAGAATGTAAAAAGGGGATCACATAACCTAAATGATGGCTCAAACCCAGCTTTATTACCGCAAGATACTGTCTTATTGGTTTTATTTCGCCTACAATGCAATTTCATTTTTCAGAATAATGCGCTGGTTTTATTCAGCCTGGCAAAAGCAAATATTTAGTCCAATCATAACAATTACTCTCAAGTGTAGTAGGGTGACTATTTCATAGAATATGACGTCCTGGTTTTAGCAGCTTATAGCTAAGAAGATTAATAAATGAAAAATGTCGATGACTGAAGTTTTCAGATGACATTGCTCTGAAACCTCAAACCTCCTTTTTTATAAATGGTTGTGGATTCAGTCCCTGCTCTTGGTCTGTTTGGTACTTGTGGGGTCTCTGAATTTCCTTTTGCATAAACATGAGTCCTGTGAGGGACTGATATCTTGCCCAGGGTGTACCATACCTTCTGTCCTGGGCTTCCATGGAATGCATTCTTGCCGCAATGGAGGACAGTTTGGTAAAGTTTCATAGAATTGCAGCGGTTTTGTGCATTACTGTAGGTGGTGGTATATGAAGGCCCCAAAATGTTTTTCTTTCATCAAATGTTTAATAAAAAAATCTGCAATGCTAATTACAATGTACTGGCACAAATGATCTTCCTTTTGACAACCTATAATATTACACAAATGTCAAAACCAGCAACCATATTCACATAACAAACAGGTATACATAATGCATAATTATTTAAATAATTGAAAGGACAATACTTATATACTAGAACAATTTAGAAAGAGAGACTAGACGAGTAAGTTGCTTAGAAAGAATATAAAGGTTATGTAATCTTATGCAAAACAGCAGTAGGACAGACAATACACTGACCCTACAATACCCAAAAAGCACATGGACCCTGTATTCATGCAGTTTCATATGTAAATTCATGTATGTACAGACGCTCCTCTACTTACGAACTTTCAACTTACGAACTTTCAGACATACGAACGAAGAGGACTGTAAGTCCAAATTGTGTTAATTGGGCTCCCATTTCCTGTCCGCAACATAATTTATTTATTTATTTTTTTCTCTGAGCGCCAAATTCCAGGTAGTACGACTTCTGGCTGCTACTCCCTCCGCGCAGCAGCGTAGCGTGTGTACTCCCAGCATCCTAGTTCTTTGTACTTGTGTACACCCTTATAATGATGTTGAATAACGACTTACGAACATTTCAAGTTATGAATGGGAGTTCGGAACGTATCTCGTTCGCAAGTAGAGGAGTGTCTGTATATAAAAACTGTTTGCTCCAGTTGTTCATTTTACAGCTTTTTTGCTTGACGTATGAAAACAAACTGCACTTTGCATGATTACTGTCTATTTGGGAAACAGAGTGATGTATGGTACCATATGTGATTTTAGCATTACTTGGCCCATCAGGGAGATATGCAGTCACAACATTAGCATTTAGTGGAAAAAAAGCTTTGGACTGTCATATCTCCAAAGTACTTTGGGCATTCTCGTGTTTTACAGAATACCACCTTTTTAATTACTGTTACAACTTTTTTCTTTGCTTAGGATCTTCATAGGAGCCTTGTCGCCTGTTGCTGGATCAAACAGAGGATAAACCGCCCCATTGAATTTGGTTGAAATGGTTAATATATATTTTTTCTCAGTAACGTTAATGAAGGACAGGTGACCTTTATCATAATCTAAAAACACCCCCAGTATCTGAGGCCTCTGTCGCACAGGAAGTTCGACAGCAGGGTCAGTACTGACGTGGAGCCTACCTTCCCTTAAGGAGAGGACCAAGAAGCCATCACTAGAAATGAGTGGCGTGTCAGAATGACGGTTCGCTGTTTCCAAGGCCAAGCCCACACCCCATGATTTTTTCAGGGGTACATTTCCACCCCCTAACTCTACTTCCCAGTAGGATTTACCTAAGTTTATGGATTTCTTTCCAAGGACACAAGTGTGATGAGAGAATCTGAGGTCACTGTCAATGGCGCTGTCCCCGACATTCAGTTTTTCTATGTCATCTCGGACTATCTTCTCCTTAATTATCTTCAGAACACCATGAGCTGTAGCTTCATCCAGGATGACGTCCACTACCCAGGATAGACACATCATGGTGAAATTCAACAACAATACTGATTAAATGCATCAATATACACAATACTTCAGATCAACCACAAAAGGGAATGAGTTACCTTCTGCTGATCTCATTATCTTCAAATCTGCACACAAATTAAAAAAAAAAAATCACAATTACCAACAAATCATCATTTTCATTATTAATATACATATATATGTGTGTGTATATATGTGTATAGTTAATTACCGTTTTCTGGAATCAGGTCACCTATGGTGGGGGGAGAATTGGTTTAGAATTCTATGTAAAATTAGCACCTGTATTTTACTTTTGCACATTATATTATAGAGGAAAATTCAGAATGTCCTGCAGGCTCAAGCTGTCCATCCATCTCTCATCAGCGCTGGTCAATCCCATAAGCAGCATAGGTAGCTACCCAAGGTGCTAATGCTAAGTTGGCGCCCCTTTGACAAGCAGCTAATTTCACTTGCGCATGGCATGTACCATCTGAGACAAAGTGAAATTGGCTTGCTTGCACCCCTCTGAAATGTGGGCACAGAACTGTGATGCAATGTGGGACGAAACTCCTAAGGGACCAATCAATTTCACTTTGTCTCAGACGGGGGGCACAGCGTCAAACATGCTGTTAAATTAGCAAGCGCGTGTGTGTGTCTGTGTGGATCATGTATATATTACGTTGTGGGGAGCAAATGTCCCCACAATGTAATAAAAACCTGTTATTTTGACGTTATGGATTCTTTCGGTTACTGCAATCAAAAAACTCAAAATGTCAAAAGTTTTGTTTTTTTTAAGTTACTTATGATTAAGGTTAGGGCTTGTTAGGGGTTAAAGTATTCATATTGGGAATACAGTTATGCCTGTAGCAATTAATAGAGAGTCCCCATGAAGATACAGTTGTCTAATGTGTGCGTAAAAAATTACCGTTTTGTGGAATCTGGTCGAATATAATAGGGAGGAATTCATTTAAAATGTTAAACTGACATCTACATTTTACTCTTCTGCGTACTGATCTACAGGCAAATTCTGAGTACCCACCATCATTTTCTAATAGTCACACATTTCTGATAAAATGGTGTGATAATTAAAAAAAAAAAATGGGGACTGAGTGTATTGCCCAGTTTACGTAACTTTCAAATACTGATACCTCACAGAATTTAAATCAAAACGTTTTTTTATTTCCAAAATAATCACATGTAGTTCTATGCTACTGGGCTATATAACTACAGACAGTACAATGATTGCGCACATTGACTCTGCTTGACAAAGTGGCGATGCTGGATTAACAGGGGCGGTAGTTTAACCATAAACCTCCAATTCTATATCATGAATAACTTGAATATATTGTGGCATAATATGAATTAGAATATGATAATCTTTTAGGAAATATTTTTCTGATGAAACAGTATGATGAGTTCAGATCTCTGTCACAGCCATGAAACGCTGCTTTAATGCAACTTAACGTCAGCAGGTGCTGGTCAGAGCTGCTGGCTGGGCCAGTTTCACTAGCCGCACCATTTCCCATGGTGCCTCACCACAGCATGCATTCATCTGCAGAGCTAAATCAGCCTGCTAAGTCGACGCACCCTGAGAAGATGGCGCCCTAGCCGGCTGTCTGTGGTGCCTAATGGGTTAACTGGCGCTGCTCCTGCTTTAGCACCATGGAGCCCCTCAGCCAAACTACAGTCACCGAACTGATCCTCCTGTCACTCACATTATTATTATTATTATTATTATTATTATTATTATTAATAATAAAAAATAATAAAGACAGCACTGATAGTGTGCATTTCAGTACAGTACATTTGAGCCACACAATTAAAACAATATTACCTTCTACTGATTTCATATCCTCTGGTACTGCACAAAAAAAAATCACAATTAAAAACAAATTAATAAAATACAAATAACCCATGTCCACAGATACTTAGATATTCTCAGAAACATACAGTCTCATAATTTCCCTTAAAAGTATTGGCTATTATATTCTTGACTCAGGCCTCCTACAGTAGGGAAGAATTAGTTCAGTTCTATATAAAACCAGCATCCATATTTTAGGTTTGTATACCTGAAACCATCACTCAGAAATTAAACTGGATGTTGAATATTACCTCACACAATTAAAATCAAAGTGAATTTTTTCAAATCATCTTTGAAATCACAAGTAGCTGCATGAAGGCTAAATAACCACAGGAAGTTAATGATTTTTAAGCAAAGGGGCTTCAAGTAAATGTGTGCAAAGAAGCCATACTGGTTAAAAAGGAGTGGTAGCTCTGTCTTACCAAGAAGTGGTGCTGTTTCTATCATGGAGACAAAAAAAAACACAAAACTTTTATTGAATGTGACAGATTTGAATGAATTGTGACATCACAGATAATTGTTTTGGAAATATTATTTCTGAAAAATCGGTATGATGAATTCAAATCATGAAACACTGCTTTAACACAACTTAACTCATCATCATAACCAATTTTCCATCACTTCTCCTGGTGAGGGTTGCAGTGGAAGCATGCTGAGCTGCTCAGATCAGACCTCGTTTTCCTACGGCCACAGCCTCCAGCCCATTCTGGGGATCTCTATATGTCCCCAAGCCAGCTAGCAGATATTATCCCTCCAGCCTGTCTTGGGTCTGCACAGGGGCCTCTGCCCAGTGAAATGTGGCCAGGCCTTGACCATTGCTGCTGTAGCTTGCAAAAAGAATAACTTTTTTTGTGCTACAAAACAGCGATGTTTCCCAAAAGCATCATAGCAAAAAGGTCATCTTAACCATTAGAGAGAGCATTCTGTGCTACAAAACAGGGGTGAGTTTTCCAAAAGTGACATAGCTCAAAGATCGTGAAGCAGCGCTTCTTTTATAAATATAAAGGAGCCTTATCCTGCCATTTTACGTCTTAGAAATTCATGTGCCAGCACTTTGTATTCCTACGTGCAGCATGTGAATTTACAGGTTGATGCATTGACTTACCACCTTAAAGGGGCAGTTCACCTTAAAACTGAAAAAAGGTATTTTTTTACAGGGGATTTACTGGTATCTATCCAATTGTATCACACAAAAGATATGAGCATGAGCACCCCGGCGATTTCATTGTGTGCAGTGATACGACTGGTGCGTGGAGTTTGGTAGAAGGAAATAGTTAGTACATTAAACTGTGGATTATATTCAATAACCGGGTCATGATTTCTGATAAGAGACACTGCTGTTTCATATGTATTTTTGGTGCTTTAACCACCACAGAAAGAATGCCATTCACTCCCATTATATTCGAGAGAAGACTGACATTTCTACAGCTGATATCTCTAAAACTAGGCATCACCCCGCAGAACAGCCTAGATAGATACCACTAAACCCCCTCAAACATATTTTTCAGTTTTAGGGTAAATTGCCCCCTTAATAATCAATTCATCATGATGCATCAATGCATCTTTACACCTCTACTTGGGAGCCATAAGGGAAGCATCCCTACAAAATACCCAAACTACCTCAGCTGACGCCTGACAGTCCAAAAGGAGCAGCGACTACATTTTGAGGTCCTTCAGGATCTTTGAATTCCTCATTCTGTCACACACAGTGAGCCCAGCAACCCTGCAGAGAAACCACATTTCGGGTGCTTGCTCTTGCCACCTTCTTTTGGTGATTACCCACGTAACCATAGGCGAGGATTGAGTAGTAAACGTAACACCTGTTTTACTATCACCAAGCTCCTCACTGGCAGAAAAGCAGGTAGTGGCATGAAGTCCTCTTGTCAATGTCACGTTCTCTCAATGACATTCACCTAAAGTTTTAGATCTTGCAGAAATCATCATCATCATCACCATCATCTATCACCAGCACCATCATCATCATCATCATTCCCTCCTCAAAACCATTTTCCCATAGCTTCTCCTGATGACAGTCACGGTGGACACATGATGAAGCATCGGGTGACTCCTCGCAATGCAAAGGAGCAGCGACTATATTTAGAGGTCCCTCGTGATTTCTGATCTCCTCACACTGTCACAGAGAGTGAGTCTAGCATCTGAGTAGAGAATCCTTATTTTGGCAGCTTGTATTTGCAGCCTACACCTCATGACCATAGGCGAGGACTAAGACATACATTGACCAGTAAACTGTGGGTCTCATCCTACATTATTCCTACTTTAGCTCTACAAGGCTCCTTGCAGCAAAACTACAGTGACCCAACTCATCCTCCTGTCAATCTCACGTTATCTTAATGGCAACACCAAGAACGTGCATTTCAACATACTCAATATATCCAGGGCTGTGGAGTCGGAGTCGAGGAGTCGGAGACAATTTTGGGTACCTGGAGTCGGAGTCGGAAAAAAGTTAACCGACTCCGACTCCTACTAAATTTAAATGGGAATTAAAAAAGTAAGTTGAAATGTCCCAATTCACAAACAGTCATAATGAACTACTTCTCTGCTGTAAGAATAAAGTCCAATGCATGCAGTGCATAATGTTACCACAAAACGAACATGTCAAGTAACCATGAAGCATGCTTTTCATTGACTGTATGCGTCACTATATGGGATGTAATGCACAGGCAAGGTGCGGCACCGCTTTCCATTGTGTCGTGTTCCACTGTTACAGGGAACTGTGAACCTAGCCTAAAGCCCCCCATACATTTACAGATGCACTGCCGATTTTTCGGCCGTTCAACGAGTCATCACGCGTCAAACGCCTGAAAAATCATCTGGTGTGTTCTCAGCTCCGTCGCATTATAATCTGGCATTATAGTAGAGTGTTGGCTTCCTAGCCAGTAGTTCTGTGGTGAAATGACATGTATGTTGCCTTCCTTTCCTTCAATGGATGTAGAAAATACATTAGCATAGTATATACATACAGAGGAGTCGGAGTCGGAAGATTTATCTACCAACTCCACAGCCCTGAATATATCAGAACAACCACAAAGACATGAACATTACCTTTTGGTGATTCCATACCATCTGGCTCTGTTTTTTCTATTAAAAACAAATAAATGACATACAAATAAGCTTTATCCACAGATATTCACAGAAGCACATAGACATTCTTACTATGTTCATTAAAACTATAGGTTATTATGTTTTTCTGTAATTATGCCACAGATGACTAAGAAGTGGCTTAGAATTCCATGTAAAACTGGCATCAGTACAGTTGCAAAACTCTATTGCATAATGTTAGAGGAAATTCTGAACGCCCATGAGACTGCAGGTCCCAGCACTGCATTCATTTCTTAACAGCACATTCCTCAATTTACAAACCTATTTATTCCCTAAAATTTGAATTTATTATTCATAAATTGGAAGCACTTGTAGAAAAAAAACCTCATTGCCTGGTCGAAAGATTTTTTAAAAAGACTTTAAAATCACAAGCAGTTGTATAACGTCTAGACAACTATAGGCAGTTAATGATTATCAAGCAGAGGGATTTCAAGTAAATGTATGTAAAGTCACCCTGCTGGCTAAACAGGTATAGTAGCTTAATGTTTATGATGAACATTTTCCAATTCTGTATCATGGAAAAAAAAGACTTATTCTATCTGACATGCGGCAATAAATTGTAATCTTTTTGGAAATATTTTATCTGATAAAACATTATGATGAATTCAAATCAACGTCATAACCATGAAACTCACAGGTTTCACAACAATTTAAAGATTAGGTCATAAATCCACTGACAGGTTCATTCATGTAGACTTCTAGGTCTTCGTTGCTAATTCATCATTAGCATCTCCATCATTGTCCCACCATTGCTTCTGGTGAGGGTCACCATGGCAGCATGCTAAGCTAATCATACCAGGCATCTATTCCTATGGCCACAGACTCCAGCCCCTTCTGGGGGATCCGTAGATGCCCCAAAGCCAGCAGGGAGATATAATCCCTCCAGTATGTTCCCTCCAGTATAATCCCTCCAGTAATTATCGTGACAACATTTCAAAGCAACAACAAAGTGAAATAAATGTTACCTTCTCTTGTTTTCGAAGTCGCTGACTCTGGACAAGAGGAAAAAAAACACAATCAAAAACAATTTCATGAAATACAAATAAGCTGCTAAATAAAATGATGATATATTGAAATCTCTGATATAAATAACCACTAAACACATTTAAAAGCACACCATTTTAGAAACATGGTTATTTAACAATCGAAAATTCCATTCCTGTAAGTTTTAGATCTGGCAGGAATCATCATAATTATCAGCATCACCATTATCCCACCACGCCCCCTGGTGAGGACTGCAGCATGCTGAGCTGGTCAGATCAGATGTTTGCTTCCACGGCCACAGACTCCAGCTCATTCTGGGGGATACCTAAACTTCCCTAGGCCAGCTGGGAGATATAATCCCTTCAGCATGATCTGGGCTTGCGCAGAAGGTACTATATTTGGGGTCCCTCAGGATCTCCGAACTCCTCACTCTGCAAGTTTATGTGGTGAGACCTAGGCCTGTCATGATAACTATTTATGTTGGGCAATATATTGTCCCAGAAATAACTGCGATAAACGATAATGTTGTTATTTTAAGATGACTTTATGCCACAGATATAATGACAATATATAAAACAAATAACCACATAACCAAAAAAACAAAGTGGGCTCTCAAGCTCAAAAATTGCAGTATAGATTAAACATTTGGCACAGGGATATAGAGACTCAATCGTTCCTTTTCAGGTGATATGTCAGCCCAGTTCTGCGGAGGCTCTGCTCAGCAGAGTCGGGTAATTCAGGTCCAGAGAGTAAAAGTCCAGACCGGGATTTTGTGTCAACCAACCAGTTGAATACTCTGCGACTCTGACTCTTTATGCTGAACTGCTTGGTTGAAACAAAATCCCGGTCTGCACTTTTACTCTCTGGACCTGAATTACCCAACTCTGCTGCTCAGTAATGTGAACGAACCTTGACTGAGCATTGGCGAGGAGAAAAGTAACAGGAAGTCAGATTTGAAGAATGGTTCACTGAGGATGTGTTCAAAATATCCGTCTATCCCTCTGTCTGTTCATCCACTCACTCACTATATAAGGGGTAAATGGGCACTTCAAACACAGCCTGAGAAAGTCTGGAAATATCTGCATTTATACGATTCCTCCCTACATGATTATAAAGATTCCCAGATGGCTACAAGCTAAAATAAAATACGCTTGTACTGCAACGCCATATACCTGTGTATATTTTTGCATCAGTGTTATTGTTTTGATTTTAATTTAGCTTTTATATTAATTTTTATTTTCATTTGAAATTTGGTTTAGTTTTAGGCGTGGTTGTAAATCTGTTTAGTTGTCATACATTTTGCTTAAGGTTTTAGTAAATTTATTTGTAGGGACAGACAGAAAGGTAGAAAGGACTTTGCTGGCTACTAGAAAATGTTGCGATGTGGGGCCGTTTGCTATGGTTCAAGTTCATTGCTTGAGAGGCCCAAAGAAAAATCACTACGGTAGCTAAATAATATTTAAATTGGTAATGGGAAGTATTTGACACAAGGGCATAACTTTGGTCTGAATATTGGGGGGGGGTTAGGTCTCTACCCATTTAGGGGGAAACATGATTATTAGGGGGGTTACAACCTCCCCTCCCCCCTACAATTTACACCCATTTTTTACTTTTGTTTTTATCGTAGTTGGTTTCGCAACTAAATATTCATAGTTGCCGATTAGTTGTAGTTTTGTAGTTAATGATTATAAGCCTGCCTTGCCTATTCTAAATACATACTGCATGGTTAACTTTAATAAATTCTTATTTGTTTTTATAACAACCATACCACACATCATAAATGTGACTTTTAAGAGCAGGTTTGTCTGGGGTGTTGGCACTAGAAGTATGAACATTCAGGACTGTGGACTGCCTGGCACGTTGCATGCGACTCAGCATGCATGCTTTCACGTGAAGTAAGAATCAGCCTTGAGCCGCGCTTGCGACACAGAGCAGACGAGAGAGCAGCAGTAGTGCAACTGGCTAGAATGTCAGGAACATTCATTCTTATGCAAACACAATTTGCCAGTGTCGAGGTCGGTAAAAATTATCGCGGTTATGTCCGTATATCATGTGATAAGATATTAACATAATTGTCGTGACAGGCCTAAAAAAAACACATTTTAGATGTTTGTACTTGCAACCTTGTTCTTTTTGTCCTAACCTACAGCTCCTGACCATAAATGAGGACTGAGATGTAGATTGACGAGTAAACTGAGAAACTCATCTTCTGACTTAACTTCTGCTTCACCACAATAGACTTCAGCAGCTATGGAAGAGTTAAAAAGGCCCACAGAAATAAAAACTGACCTCTTTTCCTATATTTGACGAACCATAGGACAGCAGCGATGATCGACAGGAGAAAAACTAAAATTGTAACGATGAAGGCTGGTTTCCAGTGTCCTGCCACTGCAAAACAGAGCACGAGTGCACCTTTAATTGAGGATACAGACCATTATGTGTGAAAGTCTAGGAGTTCCCAATGAAGAAATTGTGCTTTTCAGAGCAAGAAAAAAAATGAAATTCCATGTGCATATAGACCCCAGACTACGGTGATTTGATGGCTTGGATATTAATTGGGAAAAAAGGTAAAATAGAAAAGCAGAATCCTTCATGACTAAAATATCCATTTATTATTTATGCTGGATAAAAACAGTGACTGGCATCTTGACTCACTGAGTAACACTGTTGCCTCACTGGCTCTGCATTCCTGGAGTTTATGGGTCATCTCCATATTATGCACTACTGGTACTCTGATATCCTACCACAGTCCAAAGGCATGCAGTTAGGCATACTCCAGAGTGTGTGCATGTGTGTTCCCTGCAATGGACTTGGTATCCCATTCCCATACTTTTGGCCTAAGCTACCTGGGACTGGTTCAGGCTCCTCCTTCCCCTCACAGACATGTACTGAATGGTGACTGGAAAATAAATGGATGGATTTTTTTTTTTTAAATCCAGTAAATAGCTGAATTATAAATCTGCATTCAGGTAGGTTTCCACTGCCCTTAGTATATGACAGCTGGCTATGCGATGCATTAGCACCATGGTTTATGTCTTGCACAATTATTTAAACATAATGAATCATTGTAACATAAATCATCCATACATCATTTTTTCCACAGTCGCTTTTATTTTTTACTTACCAGATTGAAGCATAGTATCTCTCAGTGCTATCCTTCCTTCTCGGCTATCACCACCCTGGAGGGAGATGGTGCAGGACAGGAAACCAGAGAAAGGAGGCGATACTAGGATCCAACTCTGGACAGACACCATCCCATGGCTGTCCTTTTTAACCAGCAGATGGTTGTGCTGAAGGGTGGATGCCCGAGAGTCTGACCACCGCAGGTCCGGTTTTGGGTGCCAACCGTCGGACGCACAGCTAACATTCCAGTCATTGCCATTTACTGGGCTCACTGACATCACTGGAGGGGCACCCAGTTCTGACATGGGACAGAGATAGAAACATTTTTTTTTTCTATCACAAAAAGGACACTAGTTAACACTACACCAGCACAAACATCCCAAAGGAACTCACCAGACACTATGAGCGAGATGGTCCCACTGTCATAATGTACATTACTGCTGACATAGCATTGGTAAGTGCTCATGTCTTCTACTGTCACATTCATCAGATGTAGGGACATAACACCCTCCTGTAGGCTCCCTAAGACAAGAGAAACCCGGCCACTGTACTGCGAGTCCTGATCATTACTTTGGACCTGTTTGTCTCGGTAGAGCAGCACTGGTTTTGTGAAGTTGTCGGGTCGGTACCAGCGAACTTCAAAATCCAAAGCACTACCTGAAGGGGATATTGAGCAAGGCAAAGTAACTGAGCTGCCAACAGGGGCCAGTATTGGCTGTTGGGGCACAGTGACTGAGAAGCTGCCTGTAAGAATAGAAAAAATACATGTCAGTTAAGACCTGTAGTTAAAGAACCCAAAATCACTAGAATTTTTTTAACGCACTTTTCCATGGGGTAAGTGCGTCTTGGCAATTTTTTGTGATAGTTACTGATCGAGAACATTAAAAAGGAGGGGAAAAGCAGGGTTTGCCAGCTCTCACGCATCTGGCGCGACAGTCACGCTTTCAAACTCTATGCTACGTTCACACTGCGAGCGGCGAGAGCGTCAAAGCGACCGGAAGTCATTCATTCTCTATGGGAGGGAGCGTCGGGAGGCGTCGAGGAGCAGCGCGGCGCGGCGCGTCGCGATCTGGGCGGCGGGAGCGTCAGACAGAAGTTGAATCCCCAGTCAACTTTATGGTAATGAGCTGTGACGCGGTTGGGCGGCAACCAATGGGAATGTAGAGATGCTCCGCAGAACATAAGCGTGTAAACTTTTGTTCCGACCC